ATGTTTACTAAATCAACCTCACAGTGCCACGTCTCACCCCTCTACAGGGCCATCCTTACAGCCCCTCGACTGCCAAACCTTACAGTGCCACTCTCCTACACGCAGTGCCTCTCTCACACTCTCACAGCATCACTCTTACATCCTCATACACTCACAGTGCCAAACACACCCTTTCAGAGCCTCTCACACCCTCACAACGCCCACCCTCACAGCACTCACGCCAGCACCCTCACAGTGCCACTCACACCCTCACAACGCCAAAGCCACACCCTCACAACGCCAAAAGCCACCCTCACAGTGCCACTCACACCCCCACAACGCCAAAGCCACCCTCACAGTGCCACTCACACCCTCACAACGCCAAAGCCACCTCGCAGTGCCACTCACACCCTCACAGTGCCACTCACACCCTCACAACGCCAAAGCCACCCTCGCAGTGCCCTCACACCCTCACAACGCCAAACCAACCCTGCCACTCACACCCTGCCATCGCAACTCACCACCCTCACAAGCCAAAGCCACCCTCACAGTCCACTCACCACCCTCACAACGCCAAAGCCACCCTCGCAGTGCACTCACACCCTCACAGTGCCACTCACACCCTCACAACGCCAAAGCCACCCTCACAGTGCCACTCACACCCTCACAACGCCAAAGCCAACAACCCCAAAGCCACCCTCACAGTGCCACTCACACCCTCACAACGCCAAAGCCACCCTCACAGTGCCACTCACACCCTCACAACGCCAAAGCCACCCTCGCAGTGCCACTCACACCCTCACAGTGCCACTCACACCCTCACAACGCCAAAGCCACCCTCGCAGTGCCACTCACACCCTCACAACGCCAAAGCCACCCTCACAGTGCCACTCACACCCTCACAACGCCAAAGCCACCCTCGCAGTGCCACTCACACCCTCACAACGCCAACCACCCTCACGGTGCCACTCACGCCCTCACAAAGCCAAAGCCACCCTCGCAGTGCCACTCACACCCTCACAACGCCAAACCCACCCTCACGCCACTCACGCCCTCACAAGCCAAAACCACCTTCACAGTGCCACTCACACCCTCACAGTGCCACTCACACCCTCACACGTGGCACCGAACCTCTAGTGCCACCCTCATTCCCCTCACTCACTCCTCTGGACAGATCATTAATTACTTGTCAATCTTTTTTTTTCTTGTTCCAGCGATCATTAAGACTCATGACAAATGCATTCCTGTCAGGCTTCGTGTGACTGTAAGGCAACCCTTGGATGGGCGTGCGGGCGTGCGGGGCGTGTGGCGTGTGGGCGTGGTGGTGGTCCTCGCTCTTTCCTTCTTTTTTTCCCCTTTCTTCGATTTTCCTTTTTTTTTTCCCTTTTTTTTTAATGGGTTTCCTTTCTTTGGCGCTCTCTCTCTCCCCCTTTCCCGTCCCTATCTTAATTATCTTGCTTATGCGCTTTATTTTTTTCTCTTTTCTCCTTTCTGTGTTTTTTTCTCTGTTTTTTTTTTTATTTTCTGTTTCATTGCATCCTCCTTCCTCTTTCTCTCCCCCTTTCGATCCTTTTCTTAACTCCCCCTACACTTTCTATGCTCTCTCTGCCTTCTCATTCTTTCTTTCTACCACTATTTTCTCCCTCCCCTCCTCCCCTTCCCCCGTTCTTCCTCCCTCCCTCCTCCCCTCTCCCGTTCTTCCTCCCTCCTCCCCTCCCCTTCTTCCTTCTTCCCTCCCTCCTCCTGTGTTTCTTTCCTTCCCCCTCCCCTCTCTCTCTCTCCCTTCCCCCTCCCGATTCTCTTCCCTCCCTCTTCCCACCTGCTCTCTCTCCTCCTTACCCTCTCCTGCTCTCTCTCCCTCCCTCCTCCCCCGTTCTCCTCCCTTCCCTCCCTCCCTTACCTTCTCCCTCCCCTCTCCCTCCCTACCTCCTTACCCCTCCTGTATCTCCCCCCTCCTATTCCTCTTCCACTTCAGTATCTTTATCCCCCTCACCTCTCCCTTCCCCCTCTTCCCACCTCCCTCATTCTCCCTACCCTCTCCCCCTTCTCCTTCTCTCCCCCCACCCCCTCCTTCACCCCCCCCCTCCTCATCCACTGCAGCTATGACATTTATTTGTTTATTTTTAGCTTTGTTTTTGTCTTTTTTTTTTTACAAGCATCTCTCTCGAACGTCATCTGCTTCATTGGGTCGAAAGCATGATGGATTTCAAGGCTAATATGAGCTTTATGTCATTCCTGCACAGACGGATGCCTGTCAATTTATGCAAATCAGTCAATGAACGGAACATAATTATAAGTGAACGTTTCTGTATATCTCTCTTCCTCTCTCCTTCCTCCTTTGCCAGACACATAAAGACACATAATACCTATTTGTGTACGTAACTAGCTCTGTGTGTGTGTGTTTTGTGTGTTGTGATCACTTGCATGTGTATGTGTTGGTGTGTGTACATGTGTCCGAGTGTGTACATGTGTCATGTGTCCGCATCTGTACATGTACCCGTATACATACTCATATCCGTATGCATCCTTGAGTCCAAACGTATACATATAACTGCATGTGTACACGAACCCGTATCCGCACATGTATCCACACAACAAGAACAACATGAATTCTACACATGTATCCATACGTACACATGTAAAAGAATACCTCTTGAATAATCCGATGTAAATATGAATGTATTTGTGTAAATAACAAATGTAATTAATGGAATAAAGTGTTTTGACTTTGACATGTATCCTCGGGTTGTTGTGTTTTTTTTTCTTTTCTTTTCTTCTTCTTTCTTCTTTTCTTTCTCTTTTCTTTTTTCTCTCTCTTCTCTCTCTTCTCTTCTCTCTCTCTCTCTCTCTCTCTCTCTCTCTCTCTTCCTCTCCTCCTCCTCTCCTCTCCTCCTCCCTCCCTCCCTCCCCCTCCCTCCCTCCCTCCCCTCCCTCCCTCCCTCCCCTCTCTCCCTCCCTCCCTCCCTCCTCTCTCTCCCTCCCTCCCTCCCTCCCTCCCTCCCCTCCCTCCCTCCCTCCCTCTCTCCCCCCTCCCTCCCTCCCTCCCTCTCCTCCCTCCCTCCCTCCCTCACGTCACCAAACACCGCAAAACATCACACCGCTCCTGCCCACCCAACCGAATATTCACCGGATAATCTTGGCCGGATAAAAAGCTCGTAAACCTCTCACTCATCCGGCCGCTGTTCGGACTCCGATCTCTGGCCGCCGATTCGTGCCCGCTGACGTCCGCTGCTGACGTCTCCGTCCCTTAGCCACGTCAGCCACGGCCTCACTCCGGCTGACGTTGGAGGTCGGGTTTGTCAAGCGAGGGGACGCGTGGGATGGGAGGGGGGGGGGAGGGGGAGGAGGAGGGGTGGAGGGGGAAGAGTGAGGGAGGAGGGGTGGGGAGAGGGAGAGTGAAGGGAGAGGAAGTGAGGGTTGGGCAGGAAGGGGGGAAGAGGTGAGGGAGGAGAGGAAAAGGGGGAAGAGGAGGGGAGGGGAAGAGGAGGGAGGAAGGGGGAAAGGTGAGGGAGGTGAGGGGAGGGGGGGAGAGTGAGGGTGGAGGGCAGGGGGAGGAGGAGGGGAGAGGGTGGAGGAAGGGGGAGAGGGTGAGGGGAGGAACGGGGGAAGAGTGAGGGGAGGGAGGAAGGGGGGAAGAGTGAGAGGGAGGAGGGAGGAAGGGGAGAGGGTGAGGGGAGAGTGAGGGGAGGGGAGGAAGGGGGAAGAGTGAGGGGAGGAAGGAGGGAAGATTGGAGGGAGGGGGGAGGGGCCGGGTGGGGAGGGAGGGGAGGGAGGAAAGGGGGGGTGAGGGGAGGGGAGGGAAGGAAGGGGGAGAGGGTGAGGGTTGGGAGGAAGGGGGGAAGGTGAGGGAGGAAGGGGCGGAGAGTGAGGGGAGGGGGGAGGGATTAGGGAGAATGAGGAAAGGGTGATGAGGCGATTGGGACGAATGAGGGAATAATGAAGACAGTGATGAGGGAAACAGGAAGAGGGGAATCGAGGGAGAATCGAGAGAGAGAATTGAAAAGAGGGATGAGGGAGGAAGAAATGAGGAGGATAGATGAGGAAGGAAATAAGGAGGGGAGTAGCGAGGAGAGATCGCTTCCTTCCTGTTTTATTTTTTCATTATTATATTTTTTATATTATTTTTTTGGTCTTCTTCTTGTTTGTCTTATTTCTCTTCTTACTTTTTCTTGTTACTTCGTTTCTCCTTATCTTCCTCCTGTCCATCAATTGAAAGCCATGTGCGTGTGTGTGGTGTGTGTTGTGTGTGTTGTGTGGTGTGTGTGTGGTGTGTGTGTGTGTGTGTGTGTGTGTTGGTGTGTGTGTGTGTGTGTGTGTGTGTGTGTATTAATTCTGTTATTTATTCATCTATCTATTTATCTATATGTATAAATACGTAAATATACAGACATAAATACTCTTAAATCTCTCTATCAGTCATTCATATTCCTCTACCTCTCCCGCATCTCAACCCTTATCCCCTCAGTCAAAAAATACAAAAAATAAAACAAAATAAATAAATAAAAACTGTATATTATGAGCTCAAGGTCTTGGCCTAGTTCACAAAGAAGAAGAAGAAAAAGAAGAAGAAGAAAAAAGAGTAATTTCATGTCCCCTACTGCGACTCAGCCCGAACCACATGGCAGGGCTGGAGACCGAAGCCATGGTCACACAGATGGATTCGAACGCTGCCAACACAAACGATAATGCTCGTAATATTTGAATGTTAATAGTGAGAAAAATATTAATGAAAATAAGGATAATAGGGATAAAATGATAAATAAAACAAAATAATAACAACGAGAATGATAAAGATAATACAAAGTTCTTTGTTATAATTATTATTACTATTACCATTATTATTACTATCATTATCATTGCTATTATCATTATCAAGATCATCATCATTATCATTATCAGTATCAGTATCATTATCACTGTCATTATAATCATTATAATCCATATCATGATTATAAAATCATTATTATAATTATTGTCATTATTGTCACTGCTGGTGTAGTACTAGTATTAGTAGCAGAAGTAGTACTATTATTATTATTATTATCATCATTACTACCGCTTATATTACTACTGTTACTGTTATGGTTATCTTTATTATCAGCAGCCGCATTATACCACAAACTGTAATCTCTAGTATCATTAATATTACCATCGCAAAAATTGGAATAGTTGTATTTTAAAAACCAATTAGAATATTGCTGAGCAGCATTAGTCATCGACCCAACCCGTTCCCACATTGTAACACACAAGAGACACGATGCCAAAGTAAACACATTTTATACGGAAATACTTCACTTTTGCTCCGTCAGTTCGAAGCTTTTATGAAGCAGTTTCGAGCGCGTTCGAATCAGCGAGAAATGTGGGAGGGTTGGGTTGTCCGAATAGAGCGAATATGCCCGATAAGGATACGGAAATACCTCACTTTTATTCCGTCAGTTTGGAGTGTTTATGATGTAGTTTCGGGTGCGTTCGAATCAGCGAGAAATGTGAGAAAGTTTACTGCCCGAATAAAGTAAAAAGGCCCGATAATGATACGGAAATACTTCAGTTTTGGTCCCTCAGTTTGGAGTGTTTAAGAAGCAGGCTCGAGCGCGTTCGAATCAGCGAGAAATGTGGGAGGATTGGGTTGTCCGAATAAAGCGAATATTCCTACTAATGATACGAAAATACTTCGGTTTTTGCTCCGCTAGTTCGAAGCGTTTGTGAAGCAGTTTCGAGTACGTTCGAATCAGCGAGATATGTGGGAGGGTTTGTTGTCCGAATAATGTCCGCAAATGATGGCGGTTCGATCTTCGTATTTTCTTCGCGTGTAAGGGAGTAAGGGATGGATGTAATAATGGCAAGGGAAAGGGATCTAAAAGGATGATTTAGGGATGAGGCTAAAAGAAGGGAAATGGATAAGAAGAAAAAAGCAAGTGAATAAAAAGTCTTTTCAGGTTTTCATTTTTCTCGCAAGACCGAAGAGCATCCATGTCTACCTTTATTTATGTATGTGACACGTTCATCTTCTTAACAGATATTTCCTCTCTCTCTCTCTCTCTCTCTCTCTCTCTCTCTCTCTCTCTCTCTCTCTCTCTCTCTCTCTCTCTCTCTCTCTTCTCTCTCTCTCTCTCTCTTCCTCTTCTCTCTCTCTCTCT